GTTTTCAAAAAAAAAAAAAAGTCTAAGGAAGTCATTCAAGTCATGTACAAATTTATTTGGAAGCCTAACATTTGCAACAAAGTCAAAGTCAATTGACTTGGCATTTAAGGACTTCACAACCTTTTAAGGACTGGCTGGGAAATTACCAAATTACAATAACTGGATTTTATCGTTGGTCACAGAAGTTCCAAACTGCTTCATAAATATAGATGGTCCTCCAAAATAAAAACTGGTCGAAATTATAGAACGTATATTCATGAAATTAAATGATATTTCACTCTTATCCCTATAATTTTAATATTTCTTATAACTTTATTTATAATTTATTTTTAACATCTTTTTAAAAAATCAATTAAAATTTTAAAACACATTATTAACTTTATATGAAATTTTAATAAATTTATAATTTTACTCTTATTAAATATACATATTTTAATATGCCAAAGCAAAAGCCAAAAAAAAAATACATATTTTAATAAAATATTTTCTCCCACCAACAATTTAAAGAAGGTAAAATCAAAAACTTTGTGCTAAAAATTTGATGACACGACTTGTAAATACAATATGATAAAAGAAAATTAAATCATCCTCTTTCTGCAACTGTAACAACTGTAAATAGGATAAGCAGGATTAACTTTCTAGTGATGCAAAGCAATGCATGATGAGATTGCACAAAATTCAAAGATGAATTATATAATAAAGGGCATAATTGAGATATTGATATGTTTGTAAATAAATTGAGCATAATCTACCAATTTATTCCCCACTTTCTAGTACAAAGCTTTGATTAATTTGGATTAAGTCGAGTCAAGACCTTTTTAAGTGGAAGCTCAGCAAATGTTGAACTAGACATTCGTTGAAAATCACTCAAAACGTTTTATTTTTAAGGTGCATGATATAACTTCTTTATTAGTTGAACTAAACATTCGTTGGTAATTTTGCTGACTTTTTTTTAATCTATACAAGAAAAATGTTTGAAGCACCTTATACAAGGGACTCGTTGGAGTAATTTGCAAGGGTGGGTGTAGAGAGAGAGAGAGAGAGAGAGATCAGATATAGAGAGAAAGAGAGTTTCCTGAAATAGATAAGAAGAGGGGGTGAAAATGAAGGAAATGATTGTGTCCAAATAAGTTAAAGAACAGAACTACATGTTTCCTTCACTGAATGGTATGGTTGAGGCTGCTCCAGGGAATCTCTTGACTATTCATTCCTGCTTCACAAAAAGCTGCTTAACCACCAACCACCTTCCATCAATATCAATATTTCTTTCATCACCTATTCATTTCTCTATTATTATTATTATTATTATTATTATTATTATTATTATTGTTTCTTTTTATTTCAAAGCATGTTGGGTTTCACCAGGTGGAGAGCATGTCCCAAATTCAAAAAACGCTTGCATAAATACTTAAAGATTACCTACTAATAAGATCCTTACATCAAGATTTAATTCCACGATCTTGTGAATTATAAGTTAAATTCTTAATAGTTTAACCAATCTTTGTTATTTAATATTATTATTATTGTTATTATTATTTTGAAATAAAACAAGGGCATAACTAATGATACAATCTACACTTTCCATTGCAGCTAAGCTGTATATCAGTATGAACAGAGCCGGTGCCGCTGCTATGTCCTCAATTGTAGGGAACTAAAGCAATTAATCTCTTGGGATGGGTAAATATGCTTTTATCATTCTATTTGATATTTTGTAAATCCGACCCAAAAGTTTAATAAATGATGTTAAATTTAAAAAATTAATTTTAATATATATCTATTTATAGAAAAAATTCTAATGATATGTAATATTTATATATAAAATTTTAATATTTTGTGAACATAAAATATCCTCTCTCTCTCTTGTAACATAGTTACCCATTAAAGAAGGTTTAATTCCTTCTTAAACAAAAGTTTTGAATTCAATAAATAAATACATTAGTCAAGATCAAGAGTGTTGCCTCTCTGTTTTTTTTTTTTTTAAGGAATGGTGATTGGGTTGAATAATAAGAAAATTAATCGTCAATACCCTCTAAAATGGATGTTAAATTTAAATTTTTCAAGATATCAGGCAATGGAATAATAAGTTAAAAAAAAGAAAATTAGATGTCAGCACAAGAGATTTATTCCAATCAATGAATGACCTAGCTTGAATTCAAATTACCTGGTGGTAGCTAGTAGCGTGAAGCAAGATAGTTTGAGGGTGCAAAAAGAAAAAAGCAAAAGAAAACAAAAAAAAAATTAAAACAAGTGGGAAAGTAGGGAAGAAATAAAGAGAGTGATTCATTGATTCATGGGAGAGTGAAGAAAAAGGTGGTGTTTATATAAGAAGAGAAAGGTGAGGGAAAGAAGAGAGGAAGAGACAAGTTACCATAAAAGGAACAACACTTGTGGGAATCGTCCCATCATCACAAAAAGACACACAACACAACGCAACACAAACCCATCTCCTGAGATTATATTGATCTCCATAGCCTCAAAATTCAATTGTGCCATCTATATATTTTGTGTAGTGACAGTGACTTGTGACTCTCTCTTCTGTCTCTTTCATCTTTCCTCTTCTGTTCCTGCACCCACAAAAGAGGGCTTCTTTGCCAGCTCTCCTTCTCTTCACTATCTTTTCACCACCACTTTCTTCTGCTTATCATTATTATTCAATTTTTGAATCTCCTCATCATCAATTTCTCTTGATATTTTCATTTCATTATTCGTTGTCCCTTTGATATCTTCACACTCACACATGCAGTTATGCTTCTTGGTCTCCTCATATTTTGATTACAAGTATATTTTTATATAAGATTTGTTAACTAAGAATGGAGAAACTCAAGAGACTTATCGTTTTATGATATGTCCAATTCGTTCATTTCATCAAATAGCAGGAGCAGCTGCATATGCTAATGGTGCTTTTCAAGTTCCTTCTTGTGACTTGAGTGAGATTAAAATCTCTTGAAATGATTTGTGTGTGTGTGTGTGTGTGTGTGTGTGTGTGTGTTTTGAGATTTTAGAGAATTCCATTACGCGTTAAATAGTAATCATGTAGAACATAGTAATAATTGAACTGAGGTCTCAATATTTAATAGTCACAGGGTAGGCTTCTGATGACATTGAAGTTAATAACTCATTGTTTCTTTCACTTTTTTTTTTTGATAGCCGGATCTATCACTGCTACTAATTAAATGAGGCTTTGCAAATGGCAAAGTAGGGAAAAAGTAACTTTACTTTTTTACATTTGTAATCTAATTAATGTATGAATAAAAAGTTACCTCCTAATAACAAGGTTTGATCTGAACTAGCTCAAGTTCAAATGGTTCATCAATACTCGTTTTCTTTAAATAGGGTTTTTAAGTTTTGCGTGTAGAGAAAATTACTACCATGCATAAAAAATTTACAATCAATTGGTCTAGGTTAATTGGATTTGGAAAAAAAAATGTTATGTAATTAAAAAGGTTAATCAAGTTGATAAAAATTTAGTTGTAACCCATGAGAATGAGCAGTATTCAAATTGCTTTACTAATAAAGTAAAGATCTTGTTAGAGGGTATAATTTATAAATATCTTTGCAAGTATTTTTTTTTTTCAAAGCTATGTGGCCTGCTTTGACCTCCTATAACCTCTTGAGAACTAATTTATTACTTAAAATTTTTTCAATAAAAAGAACAAAAAATTTGTTTTGGAAAGGAAAAATGCAAATTAATAATTATTTCGATATATACTACCTCAATTTAATTTTGAATAGAAAAGTACCATTCTAAATTAATGATTCTTTTCATGGACTCTACCTCTATCCGCTTTGGTTAAGCTCGTGAAATATAATATATACGATGCAATAACGCTTAATTAGTCACATTCTTTCATTCATTACATAACGTGTTCCCACTAACTAATCAGTTTGCAATGAAATCCAATATTGCATCATCAGATGTTATATTCATGAGAGCATATAACATTCTTTAGAGCCCCAAAGTCAGAAGCAACTTTCAAACGTGTGTGTGTGTGTAATGAGTTCTAAAGCAGTCTGACAATTTGAAGGATTCTGAAATGATGGAAACTGACTAAATAAACAAACAACGTAAATCCTTAGCACTGTCCTATCACACCTTGCTAGTTACCTCAGCTCTAGGAATTATCATTGATGTTATGCATACATAATTATACATGTGGGTGTCTTGTCTCACTGTGTGTGTGTGTGTGTAAAAATAGAGAGATAAAGAGGTAGTTTTTCCTCCTACATTTAAAGCCAAATCTTCTAAAATGCACTTCAATTATATCATAGTGAAGAGAGAGTGAGAGTTTTGATTTATCTTTATCACCTTTAATATTAAAGTGAGTGTTATATTTTTAAAATTCAGATCAACTTAACCGATTAACTAATTTGATTATGATTTTAATCATTAATCAGTTTGATTTTTAGTACCTTAATTATTGTTTCTTTTTTTCTTTTTAGTTGTAAACCACCCAATGTTCAAAAGTTATAATAGCTCTAACTAATCCAAATTAAACTGGGTTGGGATCCCTTTGGGTGAAAACTCTGTCAAATGTTATTGCATTCATAGGATTCAAATTCGAGATTTCTGACTAAGCTAGTACAATCTCCCTCACATAATCTTGTTGGTCTTTAATTAGTCATTTCTTTGTCCATGTAGATGTGGTTGAAGTGATTTGTTCCATTGAGATTATCAGATTAATATGATATTGATCGATGTGAAGTGATGAGAAGAAGAGAGAGAAAATGAGGAGAAATTAAATTCTGGCAATATCTCTCTCGGGGTGCAAAGCCCCGTGCAGTTGTTTGTCTGCAAATACAGAATGCCAACTATGGGACGGTCAGTAGTAACCCTAGCTGCCTTACCTATACCTGCTTCTTCTTTTTCACTCTTCGATCATCACTTTTAATTAATTAAAGTCTTTCTTCAATGATCACACACTCTACAATATATATATATATATATATATATTATATCTACCATAACACCCTTTCATCACAGCCTTTCTTTGCCATCATAAACCCTACCCTCCTCTTCTTCTTCCTAAATCATCTCTCTCTCTCTCTCCCCCCTCCATTGATATGAACCTGGAAGAGAAAGTCACCATGGACTTGGTTCAGCCATCTGAACATTTCTGCTATGTCCGTTGCAACTTCTGCAACACTGTGCTTGCGGTAATATATATATATATATATGTATAATCATATGTCTTTATTATCATATCTCTTGTATATTCACCTTTCATCTTTTGATACAAACCACACACACACACACACACACACAAGATCATCCATCACTTCACTTTTGTGTGTTTGTGTAACTATAGATACATATATATCTTAATCAATGAAAAGCCAACCCATGATGATCATTATCATCTTTTTTATCTATCCCTATCTGCCTCTGCAAGTCCTTGAAGTGTCAATCACATACATTATATATCTTTTACCGCAAACTTTTATTATATATATGTGCATTGTGTGTCTAAAATCCAACGTTGTTGTGACATTAATATATGTTATTTGTGGTTGGTTATTAGGTTGGGATCCCATGCAAGAGGCTGCTGGACACAGTGACAGTGAAGTGTGGCCATTGCAGCAACCTGTCCTTCCTGAGCACCAGGCCTCCTCCATCTCATCACAATCACAACAACAACAACGAAACACAAGACAATATTGATCACACACTCACCCTTCAGGTTTCTACACATATTTACAAAGTTGTGTGTCTGTGTGTGTGTGTCTCTCTCTATATGCATATGCATATACATGATCATTATAATATTGTATGTGTTTTACATGGAAGCAGGGCTTTTATGGTGATTACAAGAAGGGACAGGCCTCGTCTTCATCATCTTCATCTTCTTTAACTACGTCCAATGATCCAGTGTCCCCCAAAACAGCACCTTTCGTTGTCAAACGTACTCAACTTGCACCATATATCTATATCTACATATATATATAGTTAAACAAGATGTCCTGTGCCCTATAAATTAACTAACTAGTCTAGTTTTGTATCTTTTTTTTTTTGGCAGCACCTGAGAAGAAACACAGACTTCCTTCGGCTTACAATCGCTTCATGAAGTATGTATATGTATATATATATATCTGCAACTATATATATATACACATATATCTCTACTTTTCTCTTTCTGGCTTTTTAATTCCCAGTGAAATTACACACACACACACACACACACACACACACACACTCACAACTTGTGTTGATTAATTTGATGCGGCTCAGAGAGGAGATTCAGAGAATCAAAGCAGCCAACCCTGAGATTCCTCATCGGGAAGCTTTCAGCGCTGCTGCCAAAAATGTAACATCCTCATTTTATTTCACGCTCCTCAGAAAGCGTCGATATTTCTATTAACTAACTGCATAACATGTTTTCACAATGTGAAATTAAAAACTTCAAATGAGATAACATATATATATATATATATATGATTTGCTGTGTTATTCAAAATAACTTGTTGAAGAGGCTTATATTATAATTAACTCGCTGTTTAAAATGACAGTGGGCAAGGTACATTCCAAATTCACCAAGCAGTTCACTTTCAGGAAGTAAGAACAAGGTAAAACAGTACAAAACGTATTATTAGTGATATATCAGTTATATATATTATGATATATATGGTTCTTGATTCTCCAAGATTACTGCTCGACATTAATTAAGAGTCTGTGTATATATATATGTGCAGGAATGAAAGAGAGCTGTGTGGCAAAGGAATTAAGTTAGGGCAAGAAAATTATAAGGTGGCTTGTTATTAAGTTTAGTTTATTTGGAATCAACTATATATTTTATAATGTGTGTGTGTGTGTGTGTGTAAGCATGGACTGTAATGTCTCAGAATGTATGCAATTAACGTAGACATTGATGCAATTAATATGCCATAATATTTTTATGCAAAATCTGCGGTTTGGACATTCTATTGTCTTGATATGAATGGAGAAACTGCGTTTTCTTTTCTTTTCTTTAGAAATAAAGGGTTATAGTTAAAAAAAAAAAGAAGTAAATTATTGCACATAACACAAGTGATGACTCTTAATGCATACCATTTAGCACAGTTGTTATTGTTAATTAACATATTATATTAATTATAAATCATGTGTTTGGAACGTAATTAAATTAACTATTACTGCTTATTTCAAATGACAAACCCGTTGACCATAATGGCTCAAAAGCTTAATTAAAAATGCATGCCCTGGTCTTTTTAAAACTTTGGTAGACTTGGATTTGGTGAGTGACCTAACGTTACTCACTTAATGAGTATCTTATGTGGCATGATAACAACTATTCAATTTAATCAAACAATTGGATAGAATTTTATTATATAATACTTAAAAAATATCAAATCTCATTTTTATTGTAGACAACATATGTGTAATGAATGCCTTGATCTTGAGGATTATTTTGAATTTTGAAAAAAATATATCTTGATAATTTTTAAGGATTAACATATTAAGTGAAGTTATACCATTCACCAAATCCAAATCCTGATCTAGCTGGTTTCTTAAATTCTACTCTTTTTTTTTTATATGCTTTTAGCTATTCTAAACTAGTTTAATCATTAGAACATTAATTTCTATACACACACACACACACACACACACATATATATATTAATAGTGACATAAATCTAATTGTTAGTCTGATCGGATCTAAATGATCTAACCAATTTGAATTTTATTTTATTTTATTAATTTTTTTTTTGGGGCGGGGGGACTGAACTTATAGAGATTATTAGAGTCATTATTTATAGCCTAATATCAAGAGACAAACGAAACTCTACAACTTCAGAACTTGGTTATAAGGAATAAATTATAATTAAAATTTAATCATTACTCATAAACTTGGAAGTAGTATTTAAAATTTAATACATGTTTGAAAACATATTTACCAAGGCCAAAATCAATGGCATGGATTAGGATACACTAAACTGAATTGACAAAGATTTCTAAATCATGAAGTGAGCAAAACAAATTTGCCTCAGTCCAAATATATGTCCATGCACGCCTCTGTTACAAGTACAAATATTTTAATCTTTGGTAAGTTTGGATTAGGATAAAAGATATAAAAATATGGAAAACTTAGATGTTCCTCAATCTGATAATACCCTCAATATTTGTTATTAAAAATTTAAATTAAATTATGAAATGAATCTGAAAAATATCAAATTTATAACAAAATTGTATCATTTACAAGCGTAATTAATATGGTTTATTTATCAAATTCAATGCAAGAAACAAAGAAAAAAAATAGTTCTCTACTTTTATTTAAATAACCAATGACATACTGAATTGACAGAAGTGATTGGGGAGTGGAAGGTTTTAGAGAATGCAACTTCATCGTTACCAAAAAAAAAAAAATTCATATAACTTTAAGGAATTCACATAAAATTAGATAAAGAAGAGGAGAGGAGGAGGAAACAATTTCAAAATTCAAACACTCGTACAAACATGTACTAACCAACAGCTCGGAATCTCAAGTTCAATTTGAAAAGGAAACGTATCACTTTAGGCTGTGTTGATTTGCCACACGATGATTTTACTGACAGATAAAAGCCACAGCCACAAAAGGAGTTCAAGTAATAAATTGTACATGTCAAATAAATTAGTGATGGGGTTCCCCTCCAAACTATTTGAACTAGATTCAGTATGTACACACACACACACACATTCTCCTATTGTACCCCAAAAATAAAAAATAAAAATCCACTTACCCAACAAGACTAACTAAAATGCCACCCTTCTAATTCTAAAGAGCAGCTTTTATCTCAGGCCATAGCCATCAAAATTATTTGATCAGAACTGACCACAAAATTGCCTAAATTTTCCCATATAATATGCCCTTCATTTCCATGCGTGGTTTTCCCAGTATATCTTGTCATTATGTACAACTTAAATTAAGTGAGCTACAAGGCACAAATCTTAACTATTCCCTAAGATGATTGCCTTCAGCTTGTTTACTTGTGTCAAAAGAGAGGAATATCCCTCACAAGCCTCGGACAAAACTTCAAGCCTCGGCTCCAACCAGCTCTTCTCCTGCAACATGTCGCCCTTCCGCTCATCCATCTCAGATGTTAATGGCTTGTTATGGCAGATGAGACTCAGCATCATTCCCTGTGACACAAGTTGAATCAGTAATAGCTAATATTGTTGTCACCACCATATAATTAAGGAGACAAAAAGAAACCAATTAACCAAGAAGTAAAAAGAAATTATAAAATCTTATTGGTGACTTACAAGAATCATAGTCCACATTTCCAATTGTCACTGAGATGTTCACTTACAATTTGGAGCTTAATCCTTTGGAGAAAAGAAAAGAGTGGCACAAAGAGAGACTTTTTGCATAAAATTCATTCTCTTACTCTCAAACCCATTTCCTCTTTTATCTTTATCTCTTTTATCTTGGAGACATTTTATGAACTTATAACTACAGAGGACAACATCCTTGGGATTTTACCTAGAGTGAGGTAACCCAACCCTGCCGGCCAGTATCACTGTCTTCAATTAAATGGGCTCAAAACATGTTCCCAGATCAAGCCCTTATAAACAGGTCAGTCTATGATTTTAGTCCATTATGAATTTTTAACTTCATTTTCTTAAAATCAAATGCTTTGGAGTAAAATAATGATGGGTTTTTCCATATAGATGATGTAAACCAACTATATACTTAATAGAATAACATCAAGCATACAGAAAGTTTGATTTTTTGGGTTAGCCTTTCTTCACCTGGCTGTTGTTTCAGCCCTAGAGCCAAACAAGTTGACCCACAGGTCAAGACCTGTTTTCACATCACTACCTCTACATCAATGCCCTTTGCACACATGCATTCTGTTGATATTATTCCTACAATCTATTTCCATGACCAGACACATAGCCTAAAAATACTGTGCACAAATTCTGACTGGAGAATTGTCTAACCAACTATCCTTCCCTATACACTGTGAGGCTAAACAATTTCAAAGCTTGCTCACCTCATGTTGCTGCTTCTCAGCATAATCTCGTAGGAGAGACCTAAAGAGCCTGTTCCGCAGGAACATCTTATCTGCCGGACAGGCATGAAATAGAAAAGAGGAAAGATGATGGACGACCAGAGAATATGCAACTGATCCACGAATAGCAGCCCTGTCAAGAGAACCAGAAACCCATGACTTGACATAAGCATCCAAGATCCCTTCATTGTCCTGCACGGGGTAAGTACATCATCAAATTTAATTGAAAAAAGTTTATATATCGAGTCAATGTTTCACGCCAGCATGTGTTTCCAAGCAGATGAGTTCGGAGGAACTAATAAAAAGAGACAAATGCGCCTACTCGTTGAATTCCAACTGTTGTAAGGGGTAATGAATATGATTAGGTCATCAAATTATTTTCCAATTTGTTCTTTTAAAAAGTTATCACAAATATCACAATAAAAATTTAATTAAACCTGAAACAATATTGACTTCTTTCTGCTTATACAAGCTTTGGGAGAAGGCATCATATAAATGCCAGATGTTTGCCTGTCTATGTGGTACAAAGTGGGCAAACAAGTGTACATTGGTGGATATTAGAATTCTTCGTACAGTAAAAAAATCAAGGATGTAGATCCATTTTATTTCTACATTAACATTATGAATGTTGAATGAAAAAATCCATTTTATTTCTACGCTCAGTGGCATTGCTGTGCTTTTCAGAAGGTGCTTCTAAAAGTTAATCATTACAGTTTCAACAAATAAACATGATAGTATTTCATTGTACTTTTGTATAAATATTTCGAGAACTTTTTTGTCCTTTCAAGGATAAAAAACTAATGAATTCAGTCCATTGACATAGACATGCAAACACACACAAGTGCACACACATTCTTCTAGCATTTCAACACAACTACAATCGTGTTTAATTTTTGTGATTTTTATCATTAGCCTTCAAAATAAGAGATTTTAAAGGCACAACCAATATCTTTCTTTAAGAAAATATTACACTACCAAAAAAACAGAAATTAACAAGTTATTTTTACCTCAACAGGATCAAGGTAACCTTCAGTCCCAGAAATGCATTTCTCTAAAGGTGGAAGCAGCTCCAGAACACGAGCATTAGATAATGCATTCCATGCAGCAAGTCGAATGGAAGATTCAACACAACGGTGTAAATAAAGTGCAACTTGCCGGCCAAAAATCAGATCACCATAGGATATAGCAGAAAATTGCTCTACAAGGTCTTCAATGACTGTTGAATAACTTTCAAAAATCTCAGATTGGAACCTCAGAAACTCAGGATGGCTATTATTATTTTGAATAACTTCATTCCTTCTGGTAGACCTTTCTTTATCTAGAAGCTCACCATATAGATCCTGCAAAGCTTCAAAAGTTTCCTTGCCCTGCTCCTGTTCCAGCACTTCCATTCCAGCAAGGAAATTGACAGATAAGGTATGTATCTTCCAGGTCAATGATACATGCTGGATAGGAGAAGGAAAGTCAGTGTGTTGAAAATTGGACATTGCTTCAACACCTAAAACAAAGAAAAGCCCAGATCTTGCAACTTCAAGCAAATTAGTTTGATCGTGTATGTTCGAACTAGAAAATTTTTTAGGACCAGATTGCTTGCTGTGAACTATTGTCGAAATTGGACTAAGATGAAAATGGACTGGAAGAGGTAGTCTCTGGCGAGCCCATTCTACAGTTAAAGAACTGTAGGATGGTCTTGTCACAGTTGACATGTCTACATCCTCATAAATGGTGTCCAAATGAGCATTACCCTTTTGATAGGTTTTGGCTCCAGAAACGTTATTGTCATCTGCAGCATTGGACTTCAGCTTTACAGACAACCATCTTCTTCTGAAATGAGATGATAGAAGTCTACTGAACTGCCGGTAATCCTCTTCTTCATATTGCCACCTAAATGTTTCACCTCTCCTCTCAAGAAGGAATTTCTGAATGCAGAGATCAAGATACTTCAGAACAGAAACATCAAACAATTGATCTACTGCCTTTTCCAAAAAAATCCCATCCCCTGGTCCCGCAATTAAACAAAAAGCCAAGGCAGAATTAATCCTTTGGGTGATGAAGGCTGTTTCTTCAGCTATGGATGTATTAACAAAAAGATTTTTAAGAGTGTCCAACAAATGAACGAGAAATATTGCATCCGTTTGTGCCAATAAAATGCTTTGTGACCAAAATCCTCCACCAGGGGCACCCCAGCCAATTCCCACTCCTGGAGCAGGTCCTCCTCTGCCAAATGTTTCAATAGAGAGCATGCATTGCCACCCTGAAGCAACTAAATTTGTAAAAACATCAGCATCAACTTTAGATTAACACAAGACGCATTTAATATGCCATCCTCAAGCATTTTTCCTTCCTTTGAGAAGGTTTGGTTCTGGGGAGGGAGACCACAGATCCCATTCTTGGCAGACTTGACTAAATGATCAAGTGTACTGATCACCTTGACCATTCCATTCAGGCAATTGACAGAAGCCATAGACATTTCATGATCACCATTCTCTCTCAAAAAAATTAGCTCTTCAATAAACGATTCACATCCATCAGGTCTGCCACCATTTGTGCCAGAGGAAACTGAAAAACCCAAAAGCCAGAACTTAATCAATTGAAGTCCAATCTTTGGAACAAATTCTGGAAGCCATGGTACAGGCCCACCACTTTCATTTGAGTTAATAGCATCCTCTGGTGTCAACCTTTCAAGGACTCTGAAAAGCATGTGAACAACAGCTGCATACACCCACAGCAAAGAAGTCACAGATAGATCTTGGGAAGCAAAGTCTGCTCTCACTTTTTTTGGTCCCTCAAATAATTTAGATACTTCTGGATCACTTCTGGTCTCTATCCACTTCATGGCTAAGTCAACCATAGGACCAACAAAACTCCAAGACCAGACCTCTGTTTCAGCATCAGTAAATTCTGGAAGTTTTTGACACTGCTGTGAAAAGAACTTAGGGAGTCTCCTAGTCAGTGATTCCAGAACAAGGTAAGCCTCCCTTGAGATAGAAGCAGATTCATACAACACATTTTTCTCAACAAGTTTTCTGAATGAAGGAGGGTTTAGCCACATACACAAGGTGGGGAACGTGTCTGAGAAATATGATACACAATATCCATACTGAATGCAAACCTTCCAGAAACGTAACTGTTCAACAATCAGCGCTGACCCAAGTTTACATTTTTCATTACCTAACTTCATCAAGTGTTCAGTGGAGGAAGGATGTTGGTACAAATGCCATGTCATAGCCTTGAAATGCCCACTCTTTATAAACTCCAAACAATTTTTCCGGTCCAACCGGGCCAAGACCTTATTCAATAACAAAATGGAACATTAGTAATAATGCTTTAACCACAATGCTCAAATATCAATCATGGATGACAAAAATTAATATATATTATGAATCTAATGTTATTGAGCAATATCCTCACCTTGAAGAGGGTCACAGATTTTATCAGAGAAGGTCGAATTTCTATGCTGTCAACCATAAATCTCTGCACAATTGTCTGAATTAGCCTTTGGCACTTTAAGACTGCATTTGCACATGAGGGTGAATGCCTGGCTATGGCAACCATTATAGACATAATACGTTCTTCCAAAGCTGCTGTAGGGTCTGTCTGCAGCAATTGGCAAATAATAAATTTGACACGAAAGTTCAAATAAAATAGGGAATGAGAACTTTCTTAACAATTTGCGTCATTCTAAACAACTCTAAAATATAAAATGCTTCAACATAATTATTCATTCAAGAAATATTATTTGTGACTGCAGAAAAGAAACCACAAAGGATGATGAAGTTCAAACTAAAGTAATGGCTATATTAAATGAATAAGTGACACTTAAAGAGTGATGAAAATGTAATAGTTGGTAGAAAAGAATCTCCAGCAGCCTTTGAAAGCCGAGTCAGTTCGCCAAACAAAGCTTAACACAATGATGATGTCACTATTTGTTGTTCTTGTTGTTCATTCTTACCTCCAAAAGGTAACGAAGTTTAGGAAGGATTCCCATCCGAACTAGACCTGCAGTAAAATCCTGTCCAGCAACTGTTATATCATCCTGAATTGTGTGCTTCTCTTCAGTCTTATCTTCAATAGAATCCTCGTGGAAAGGAAGAATATTAGAGGCTTTGCACTATACTTCCAAAATCCACCAGGAAGAAAACCAACATTGATGTCAGGCTTAGTTCTAAACACAGGAGCAGAGCAGATATCCCTGTCATAAGTTGCCTTTTTCTGTAGGTCAAAATAATTACAAACAAATGTAAATAGAAACAGTAATATAATATGAAGAGGAAAAATACGATTAGAAAACACCATTACCTCTGAGATATCAAAGAAATTCTCATTCACATCACAACTCAGCACACACTCAATGACCTTCAAACAGGCTAGAACTACAGAACTGTGGTTGTCATCAAGACACATTCTACAAGAAATCAAATACAACAGTAATGTCAATGGATGCCCAGACAGAGAAAGAAAAAGTTATGTGCCAATAAAATTGGAATAAATTGAAGATTACATCAAGTGGTTATTAATCACTAGCTACTAGAATCAGCTCCCAGATAAACATTATATTCCTGTCTATTTGCAAAATCTGGACCATGAAGTAAACAAAATAAATAGTAACCTGTTTGGGATGAACTTGATTTCAACAAACAGTAATTTAAAAAAAAAAGAACTTTCCAAATTTCTGGCTCCTAAATATCTACGATAAAAAATGCACAAAAAATTTCTAGTTAGTGAATCGACATGCCTCCTTGTTATCAACCTCAAGGGACAAAAGGTATGTCAACCAAGTAAGCAATCAATTCTAGGTTCTCACTATTCAAATGTACGTAGGACAAAGGTAGCAATATTAAACAAAGACCACAAGCATGCATCTCATACACAATTTAATATCAGATATATCAGTGTTAGTGGATGAAATTACACTATATCCAACAGAATCTTAAAACAATATGGACATGTACATTTGCTGAAGAAATGTGCATTAACTCAGTCATTGCAGATAGTCGATGAATCAAAAACAAGTTAAGCCAATTTATTCACCTAAGTGCCAACACAAGCTCAGGTTCAGGGCCCAGAGCAAAGGCCCAAACAGCCTCCCAGTCAACAGTGTTCATTCTATTTTCATTTCTCACCAAATGCCCAACTTTGTGTTTGCAAATGTTGTCTAACACCTTCTCAAGCACAGACGAAAGGAGACACAGTGCAAGTGCCCTTTGCCCAGGAACCTAAACAACAAAATTCAGCAGATAGTAAGATACAAAAATGGGGGGAAATATTATGATATGTGAATAATTAATTCATTCCAAAAGCTTAGGTGGTTAGGAGAAGGCTTGGAAATAGTGTTGGTATATATCTCTAACACTCGTCTATGCAAAGGTGTGCAGACAAATAATACATCCCACCACTACTCTTCTGTAAAAGTGAAAGAACAGAAAGGGACAAAGATCAAACTTGACAGCCAGCTAAGGAAGACTTTATATCATGCCAAGGACCATTTCATCCCAATTATTTAAGCTCTCAGAAGACATGCTTAAACTATCCACATGCCAAGCAAATTCTTCCAAACTGTGCCAGAAATCAAAAGTAAAAAATGCATCCAGCTGTCAAGTACATAAGTTGCACAACATATAGCATACCACACTTCTAGTGAGTGCCACAGCTTCTTTGATTGTGTAACCAGCTGCACCAGGATCCCCCTCACTTCTCAGGTAATCACGTTCAGTCAAATTATCTGCAGCACAGCCAACAGAATTCCCACAAATAAGTTGTAACTGTAAAATACTATATACAAAGGAGATTCATATTTTATTTCAACCCGTGTCTTTTTTCAGAACAACTAGGATATCAATGAGAAAACGGTCAAGAGAGCAATGATAACATTTAAATGCTAAATATTGAACAACCATGCATTAACATTCAATGAGACTATTTGGAAAATGACTGTTATTTATTTATAAATATAAATATACATACATACAATATATATATGTATATATTAAATATTATATATATATTATTAAACATTAATATTTCTTTCGCCAGATATTAAACATTCATATAAAAGAGGAGAATACAACTGAAATAAGATAAAGGTATATTTGTCCATTTATTATCATTTCCCCTCCCCTCCCTTCCAATCAAATCTAATGAGGTAATATTAAATCCCCTCTCCTCCTCCCGTTGAATAGGCATGAGATAAAAGGAGCAATAAAATGGACTGTGAAAAAATAGTAATAAAAAATAAGGCATACCATTTATAGACACCAAATCAATGCTATTTTCAACAACATCCCCAGCCAAGGAAAATCGCAATTCCCTAACAGCCTCCACTCTGCCACTCCAAGCATTCCATGAACTGCTACTTCCAGTGGCTGATGTCATTGTCATATAGTTCTGATCATCTAGCTTATTTTCTTTATTTTCTAAGGGTGGTGTTGCCAAAATATTGGAGACATCATTCTTAACACGCAGAGAAAATTTTGCATCATTGACATTCTCAGCATGTTGAATCACAGATTCACGACCAGTACTGACTTCTAAGATTGAGTTACTCTTTTTCCTCAGTTTTTCTTCACCCCTCTTTCGTAGTAGTGTGAGTAAAGCAGGACTCATCTTCTCCACAATCTCAGCCTGGGCTTCTGCAATCTCCTGAGCTGACATTTGCTTAATCCGAGCTTGATTCTCAGCATCGATTTGACTCTCAAGAGACATTGAAACTGGTTCATTTGAATGTTTGTTAGCACTAGAACAAGAATCCATACTTGAAGTCAAACTATTTTGCTCTGGTCTACTTAGCACATCAAGTGATCCAAAACTGTCACCAGGCATTCTTTTAGAGTTAATTTGGTTGCTTCCAGCCTCATATTTTGATGCTTCTTCAACATCATAAATTCTGGCATCTTTAGTAGTTTCCTGAAGACCTAGCTTGTTTGAGTTATCCAATTCCATGGGCGTGACTGAATGATAATCCCACTACAAGAGCTATATGACTGTGGTTTAGCTTCAGCTTCCAGAAAAGTAGTGATGCCTGTATCAGCAGAAGAAAGGGTTCCTTTGTCTTCAGTCTTACCTTGTTCATCATCCATTTTCTTTTCCTTGGGTTGCCTGAAGTGTAACATAGATTCTTCGGATTTCTTCTCCAAGGGAGAATTATCTTCCTGAATGAACTCTTTCCACTTGCTAAAATCCAACCCCTTTTTGTTCCTCCTTTGCACTGGGTTAGCATGGGCTTTAACTGGGTCAAACTCCATAAAATCTTTATCTTCATCATCTTCAAAATTATTATCACTATCATCATTGTTATCATCATCCATTTTACTATTCACAGGTCGCCAATACTGTAAATTCAAATTTTGAACATCAATCTATATAAGGCTAACCTATTATAAAAACTGCTCACAATCAACTAAAATGAGTTAATGTAAGCAGAGATTCATGCCAAAAAACAGATAGAGACAGAGACAGAGAAAATCACCACTGACAAGGCTCCAATAGTGCACAAACTCGGAGACTAAAGAATTTCATCATTTTGCTCTTGTTTTGTTTATGGGACTGATTTTTATGGTCCAAGAATTCCTAGATGGACCCTTAATCATGCATATTAATCTCGACATGTGGGCCTTTTTTGAAGGTTTTGCAATTATCAGGGGCTTCTTGTACAAGTATCCCCAGCTATCAAAGAATTTGTAAATTAAAAATGGGTATAAATGAACCCTAGGTAATGTGATACTTGGGTCATCTTCTGCTCTCCTTCCTCCATAACTTTTTGAAAGGCATCTCCTACCTAGGATTGATTTCATAGGCAAAAATCATAAGATCTAAATGTTAGTATCTTCTTTATTGAATTTTCTCTAGACCCAACCCTCCAAACCCCAAAATTGAAGGCACCGAACTCAGATATGGCAGCATGCCTGATTAGTTACTAAGGTAAGTGCTGAAACATATAGATCCTGTATCAAAGTCATTTTGAGGCTCAAAAACATCCAACTATTGCTTAAGCCAATGACAACTGGAGGGATTGGAAGAGAAATAAGTGCAAAAAAAAAAAAAAGAAATCTAAGTGAATTGCTGTTCAAACTCAAATGTCCATAGAAGAAAGAATAAGGCATGAAGCAGCTATCAAAGGGTCAGCTGGATGGAACTTTATGTCTCTCGTTTAACATTCTCCCAATATTGATTCCATCTTTTCCCATATTCCCTCCTAAGCCCAAGTTATTTATTTATTTTTTCTAAAAAACAAAGCAATGGGAAGTTCAAGTTTCAACACTCTCCAAATGAAGAATCGAAGTATCAGTTCCAAAAGTTGAAGTTGGTTTTCACTTTAAAATGTTTAAAGGCCAAGATTACCACCAAAACGAGACAAAATGGTAAGCGATTCACACTTGAGAGATCCAAATACTAGTTCACGTCATACTCTTAAACCGAGACTCAAAATTTTGGTTCCACAATGAGTTCATTTTCCACAGTCTAACAGCTAAAACCCAACAATTAGCATCAAAATGAAAAGCAAAAGGGCTTAAAGAAGAACAGTGGAAACACTTACAGGACCCTCGGAGCGATGGCGAGCAACAGGAAAAGGAAGAACCGTGGGTTTAGGTAAAGAAATGGAAGTGAGCTTGCTCGGTGGCTTCTCAACTATACCCTTTTCAACTATGCTTCCGACCAAGCCAGAGTAGACGTCTCCGCTAAATGGAAGAGAGCTTGCTCCAAACGTCTTCTGGCGATTCGACCTCTTCGCTTCTTCCTCACCATTGCTCTTCTTTTGCTTCTCCATGTTTCACACAATCGCGACAGTCCAGGACTACGAAACCGGAAGCATCTAACGGAAGAGAAGGCGAAAACTAATTTACGTTGTTGATAGTCTTGGGTTAGGTTGGCCTGTTGCATTTACATTTACGAAGAGCCCAATACTTGTATTTGTATAGACCCTTTTTCCTTTTTTTTTTTTTAACATTCTGTCAGCATATTCTAGCCGAAGGCCCAATCTTTTTCGTGGAATAACAATTTTTTTTGGGTGAAATTACAAATAAATATCAATTAAAAGATTTCTTGACAAATAAATTATATAAAATAATACAAGCGACCTTAACTCACTCTTCCAACTTTCGTTAACCAGTGTTGACTCACTACCTTATAATAATGTTTTAAAAGCCGAACTGAATGTTGAATTAAAAAAATTAGTGTTTCTCAATTTTTATGATTGAACTAATTGAATCGATATGTAATAATTAAATAAAAATAATATCAAATATTATATAAAATAAATATAAAAAAATTATAGTATGTTGATAAAATGACATAATATAATTATAAATTAATAATATTATAAATTATAATTTTATAAATCGTCAAACTTAAGTGAATTTTAGTTAAATTAGATATGAGTAAACTTAAATATATTTATTTTTGCACATATAATTATCAATATTTTTATTAAAAAATAGTTTTAAATTATATTTTATACATGTGAATTGTCCACAAATATATTTAACTTTTAGGAAGATCTATATTTTTAATTTTTCTAATTTTTAAAATTTTTAATAATTTTAAAATCTTTCAATTTTTTAAAAACCACCCCATTTTTGATTCAACTTTGATTTCTAGATTAATAGTGGCTCAATTTCCATCTAATCTAGTTCAATTATAAAAATAATTTTTTGGTTGAAAATGAGCCCTTAACGAGTCTGATCAATGATTCAATCTTTTGGTTCAGTCTGATTTTCAAATTATTGGTTCATAGTTTTTCTTCAAATTATGGTAATTGGTTTCATAGTTTTTCTCACTCTTGTCTTCCACATTAGGAAAAGTGATTACCATTTTTCGCACAATAATAATAAATAATTAGCTTGACAAATTCCATTGATGGCGGTAAATTTGTGTATTTGTATAAGAAATAAAAAATGCAGTTTTTAGATTAAAAATCACTCCTAGAACATCACGAAAAATGTTGTTACAATACTTTTTGAATTAAAGGATATTTTTGTCTCTTAATTATTTTCTTAAAAATGTTTGATATCTTAAATTTATATGTGAGCTGAAATTTAAAAAAAAATACATGTGATGCAATTTCTCCTATCAACTTTTAAAAATAATGCATTAGGTATTCTATTGTTGAAAAAATGTTAAAATTAACCATTAATTGACTTAAAAATTACAAGAAATGACCCTAAAATTAAAAATAATTATCATATATATGAACATCTCATTTTGTCTAGGCCCCCACAAAAAAATAAATTAATTAATTAAAAAGCCTTTTTTAATAAAATAAAAAAAATAAATTAATAAACAAAATTAAATGAAAAAATTTTCAAATTTGCGTCTTGATCAATTAGGGAAATGAATTGGAGATCCAATCCCCAAATTTGTGCTTTGATTTAAAATGATAAAAATCAAATAAAATTAATCATAAATTGTGATTTGATGAGATTTAATCATTAAAAATGAAAGCCCTAATTTTCATTTATAAAAAGGTGGAGATCAAGGTGAAAAAGGGGGAGAAGGAAAAAAATAAAAAAAAGCTTGATAAAGTTTGTTGAAAAAGTAGAAAATGTTTGTTTGTTCTTTTTTATCACCTCTACTTATTATAGTATGTGATTAGAAATGGATAGAGGTCCTAAATAGGATAATATCTATTGATCATTATTCTATAATGCTTTAAGAAAAGTCAATATTCTCACACTTGTGATTGCATATGTATCTTTAAAAAAATGTTAAAAGTTAAAGGATATAAGATTAATAATAATTTAGTTAATCCTTTTGTTTTCCGTATTCCTTTCTCAAAAAAGAAAAAGAAAAAAAATTTGGTCGTCGCGTGCATATGTAGCTGCTTTTGGTGCCTTGTGTTTTCCTGCTTCTTTCTTCATCCCCGTCCCTCCCTCTCACTCACGTTCCTTTACCTTAGCCTCTCTTTTTTCTTTTTCTTTTTTTTGTTTCCTCCACTTTTGATTCAGTTTTTCACGCAGGGGGAAATCATATATAATATATATATATATATGTATGTATGTATGTATGTGAGTATCTTTTCATGCATACAAATAGATGAGTTGAAAGTCACATGTGCGATTTTGTTTTAATGCTCACACATAATAGTCAAGTATTCACTTTAACCCTTCATCTTTTTTGTTGGTTATGCGTGGGATGAGCATTGAAATAATTATCAAAATGCTTAAAAGTAATAAAACTCCAAAGATTTGACCTCTTGTTTTTCTTATGAGTCATTTATATTATTATATTTTTTTAACACACAAAATACATGATTTAAAACTTTTTTGCACATATTTTTTCTAATTATATCATGTAAAATTTGTAGAGTCTTTGCAGATAATTAATCAATTGATATGCCCTGTTAGACTACCACAAGCACATCAATCATGATGCTTAATTAATTTATTTAAAAATTATATTTTTTATATAAATGAATAAATTGAAAAATAATTTATATGTCATGTAAGGTTTTGGAATCTTTGCAATTATAAAGTAAATTAATTTTCATGTAAAATTTTTGAAATCTTTGCAAGAATTTCAATCAAATTTTTTTCAAAAAAAAATCCTTTCTTAAATAAGGGAATAAGTTTTTTTAATAATTTAAAAGATACAAATCCAATTAAACACCCTTTTAAAGAAATCCTTTTCTAAAAAATGCGAACAAAATGACACACATTTTTAGCCAACTACATGGGCTTTGATTCCTTTAAAGGGTATATAGGCCTTAGGGTTTTATCTTAAGTCAAGTTCAATATGTAAATAAATAATATTTTTTAATTTAATTGTTCTTCTTCTCTTCTTCTTCTTTTTTTTCTTTATTAAGGATAATTAAATTTGATGTAAGGCCATATTAATTTTGTTTAGCCAACTTAGGATAATCGTTCTCATGAACAGGTGATGTGGGGTGCGTAATACCTTCTCTACGCACAATTAACTTCTGAATTCTATTTTAATTATTGTAGACCATTATTTTTAAAAAATAGGTTTTTAAAATTATTCTTTTAAAATTTTGATGGCGACTCATACACTTATTGATTTTCCTTTTTGGAAAATCATGATTCAGGCGTGACAATATATAAAAATTAACACGCAATTAAATCTCTTAAATTACATATAAATACAAGGGTACAAATGTCATTTATTACCCATCTAAGGTATCAAAGTATGAGATACTTTACATGGATAATAAATACAAGAATTGTCAATTTTATGGGGGTACTTGTTTGTAATTTTATAGATTATTTTCTGTAATTTTACAGTAATGCTTTTTTTTTTTGGCCAAATGATTAATAGACTTTTTTCACAAATTTTTGGATCATGCAATTGCCTGCATAAACAAGATAAAGTTGTTGTTGATGTTGAACTTAATCAACTAATAGATCAAATAATTAATTAATTCACTGAAAAAGGGGAGAATTTTCTCTCTAATGCGAAGCTTTTTCTCTGATGCTTTTTCTTCATGGCTTCGTTTAAGGATCACAGGATCTCACCATCATTTTGCTGAGGTACTTCACAGCCAAAGATGTTTTCATCCTTCTAATTAAGATTCAGGCTTACATATCTCGGTTTTGGGAACCAAGAGGGGACGTACATGTGCTACAATCTTAATCATCGCTTCTTGCTCTTTTTTGGCTGTACCTATGATCTGGACTTCATGCTTTTATGGTGGACCTTGAGTGTTCAATGGTTGCTTTGATTATTCTGAAACGTTGACAACCATCTCTTTGGCTTCATGAGGTTTCCTTCTCCCTTGTCCTGTTATGGATTCACTTACATGAGTTGCCAATACGGTTCCATATGGAATACTTTGCTTCTTTGATTGGTAATTCATTGGGAACTTTTATTTCTTTCGATGACAACTATTTTATCTGGAATGAGATTCTGTGTAACACCCTCTTGGAAAAAAAATAATATATATATATATATATATAATATAAGATTTCTCTCGGAATTTTAGAAAATTCACATGTTCACTTGTACTTTTCAGAATATTGACAAAGATAATAAGTATTTAATTTCCATGTTTTGGTTAAGAAAATTATGTTGCATATGCCAATATAATAAAGTTGTACTTGGTTACTTTTTTCATATTTAAGGCTACACGTGGGAGATAAAGAAAATGGAGATAAAGTTGTACTATTTTATGAACTATTCTGGAGTGAGATTCTGTGCGACACCCTCCAGGGAAAATACATACATACATACATATATATATATAATATAAGATTCCTCTTAAAATTTTAAAAAATTCACATGTTCACTTGTGCTTTTCATAATATTGACAAAAATGTTAAGTATTCAATTTTCATGTTTTGGTTAAAAAAAATTATGTTGCATGTGACAATATAATAAAATTGTACTTGGTTACCTTTCTCATATTTAAGGCTGCACGTGGGAGAAAAAAAAAGGTTAAACTTTGAGGAGAGGGAAAAAAAGAGGAAGGGAAGGGAAGTGAGGTTTGCAGCACGTGAAGGAAAGAAAGCATGGACATGACATAATAAATAAATATGGGATAAGGATGAATTTGTGGTGAGAAAGCATTATTGTAATTTTGAATGAATCAATAGTGGGAAGTGACATAAGAAATTGTCAATCACTTGTCATTCAACTTTTTTTTTATAAATAGCCAAATGATTAGTTAGAGAGAGGTGAAAAAAATTATTGATTGAGAGAGTGGGAAAAATCTTGGAGAGAGATATGAAAAGTAAAAGAAGAGATATAGTAAGATTTTTTTCTCAAAAATCTTTTTTACCTTTTAATTACATTGAGATAATATAATTATTTTTAGCTTGGTATTTTTTCAAAAAATATCTTACCATATCCCTCCATTTCTCTTCCCATGTCTTTCTCCAAGATTTATTATATTCATGTATGCAA